TCTCTCCATCACATCTCCTTTAAAACGTTTTAGAGTAATTTTTAAAAGGTAGGCACCTGCACCCCAGTAACTCAATAAGTTGAATTATTGCCCAGAAAATATAGTTTGAGGATTTGATAAAGTCAGAATTTGATTGTGATTACTTTAGGGTGGCTTTATATGCCTCTGTGTATATACTGTTATTTTGTCTAATACGGGAGAATGTATATACTAAAAACAGTAAGCCTTTCTTAGGTCATGTCCTTATTTAATCATTTTTGCTTTAGGTTGAAGTAGGGGTAGTTCTTAGTGTTGAAATGTATTCTGGAGAGCCAGCTACTTTCTATAAAGACTGATAATTGAGGAGAGATGGCTTAGAGGTTAAAAGCACCAGCTGCTCTTCCAGAGGTCCTGAGTTCAATTCTCAGCAACTACATGGTGGCTCACAGCCATCTATAATGAGATCTGGTTCCCTCTTCTGGCCTGCAGGCAGAACACTTGTATACATAGTAAATGAATAGATCTTTAAAAAAAGATTTATTTTAATTGTGTGTGGGCGTGTGCATGTGTATGCACATGCCCTTGTTTGTGTATCTGTGTGTGGGTGTGTGCATCTGTATGCAAGTGCTCTCAGAATCTAGAGGTGTGTGCATATGTATGCACATGCCCTTGTATATGTATCTGTGTGTGGGTGTGTGTATCTGTATGCAAGTGCTTTCAGAATCCAGAGGTGTGTGCATGTGTATGCACATGCCCTTGCTTGTGTATCTGTGTGTGGGTGTGTGTATCTGTATGCAAGTGCTCTCAGAATCCAGAGGTGTGTGCATGTGTATGCACATGCCCTTGCTTGTGTATCTGTGTGTGGGTGTGTGCATCTGTATGCAAGTGCTCTCAGAATCCAGAGGCGTCAGATCCTTCTGGAGCTGCTTTATAGGCACTTGTGGGCTGCCTGGCATGGGTACTGGAACCAAGTTCAGGTCTTCTGCAAGAGCAGTATTCACTCTTAACTCATGAGCCATGTCTTTAGCCCTGTAATTTAAGCTTTTTGGGATATCTACTAAATGAAAACTTTTTATATGAATATTTATTGGGTTTTCTTGGTATTTATTTGTTTGCGTTGTTGTTGCTGTTGAGATGCCAAACCATATGAGGTGATTTTTCAGTTTGGTTTTTGACTAATGAGAGTTTTCTCCTCTGTCCTCTGCATCGGAATGTTTATTTTCTCTCAGTGGCTTGTTTTTCCCAGTGGTTGCTCTGTTTGCTCGTGTGGAGAATGTATGTTCTTTTGTGTCCCTAGGGTGCTTTGAATCCTTACAGATAATTATTACGGGCTCAAATATGCTCAACTCCATGGTGATAATAAGCCAAACCAAGTTTTCCTTTGTGTGATGGTAAATAGGCACTATAGTGATCTCCTATTTGCAAGGTCATAACATTCCAAAATGCTCAGTCTCTGTTTGCACTTATCTATTTCTCTTTTGGTATTACTTAAATTAAGTTGTTTCATTCCTAAATACTTCACTATGCATGAAGAAGGGTGCACTGCATTAATTTTCTTTTGCCTCAGTAACAGTCTGCCACAAACTACAGCTTAAAACAACGCATTTATTACATAATAGTTAAATATCAAGTTTGGGCATGGTTTAGAAGGATCTTCTGCTCCAAGTCTCTTAGAAGGCTCCAGTCAAGGTGCTGGCCATGGCTACAGTTTTTCTGAAGCTTGAGTAGGGAAAAATTTACTCTGGGTTTCTGTAGTTGAGTTGAGTTGTAGTTGTGTGCTGTTGGTCAGAGACTACCAAATAGGCCTCTGACATGTTCTCCTTCACCAAAACCAGCGAGGGAGCCTGTTAGTAAGGTCCAAGTCACAGTTATGTATCCGAGGTTTAGAAATGACACCACATCACCATTGCTTTGTTCTGTTGGTTGGAAATAAGTCGCTAAGCCATCCTACACTAGGGACAGATGATATGAAAGTGTGAATACCAAGACATAGAAATCATTTGCAGCCTTCTCCAAATTGCTCTTCTAGAGGTGTTTTCTCCTTATGATATCATTGATGTGACTTAATAGATTGAGTAGTGATGCTTTAATAACAGCTGATGTTGCTTCCATGTCCAGCTTTCTCTTTTCATTGTTTGAATCAGAATCTAAACACTGGTATTGCTATGTCCCTTTAAAATTCTTTTATCAAGAAGAGTTTTCCCTTCCTCCTGCCATTTTTCTTTAATTCACTGATTTTTTTAAATTCATGTTTTATTTTTAAGACAGAGTTTTCATGTATCCAAGGCTGACTCCGAACTTCCTTATATGGCCTGGAACTCTGATCCTTTTGCTCTCACCTTTGAATCGCTAGGAACACAGGTGTTTGCTACTGTGTCTGGTTTATTGGTGTTAAGAATTGGACTCAGGGCTTTGTACATGATAGCTAGGCAAGTACTCTACCAACTTGAGCTATCCCAAGATTTACCAACTGATATTTTTTGAGGAAACTGTGTCATTTGCCTGAGTAGACTTCCATATTCATGTATATCTAGTTGCTTTTCATAGTAGCACTTAACTACTTTCTCCAGTTTTAAACAATACTGAGAATTATATTCTGAATCATTTTTTTTTAAAGGCTACTCTCTACGTGATGTAATGTACTTTGTATTGTTAGTACTTCAGGCCGCATAGTCTAATGGTAATTTCCAATAAGATTTCCCATTGGCCTTTCATTAATAGTATTAATATTCAGTGATAATCATTGTCAGAATAAAAATGTTTAACAAGGCATGGAAATTGGATATATATAATTCTTACATTATTTTCACATTTGTTATTTGCAATTTCCCCCCTCTCCTGGTCATCAAATGTAGGACCTCACTACAGATGCTAGTTGGCTTTTATGCATAGAAATTACCCTCAATGGTAAGAGTTTTTAGTTACTGAAATACAGTCAACTGGAAAGTGAGATAAATGCTTAGATTCTTTCTTTTTAATGACTAATTGCAGAATAATGAATTAAGTTGGGTATTTCACGGGGTATGTAGTTGATTTTGTTTTTAAAGAAAACCTTTGGTCACTAGGCTGTTTATATATTTACTGTATTCTATTTATTTTTATGTGTAAGGATATTTAGCCTCATGTATGTCTATGCTCCAAGTGCATACCTGATGCTTGAGGAGGCCAGATCTCCTAGTACTGGAATTACAGACAGTTATGAGCTGCCATGTGGATATGGGGAACCAAAACCAGGCCCTCTGGAAGAGCAACCAGTGCTCTTAACTACTGAGCATCTCTCCAGCCCCTCTAATATATTTTAAACAGCTTTAGTAGTTATTATGTTTGATGCCATATTGTTAACGTTTTTGAACAATAGGAACCTCTTCAAGTCTTATTCCTGTTCCTTGACTTGACCCCATTATTATTATTATTATTATTATTTTTTACATAGGAAGTGTTTCTTTTAGATACATTAGTAAGAGAATGGTATTTAGAATGTATTACTGGAAACTAGAAAAATTTGTTGCTACCAGATTGTCTTTTCTTAAACCTCTCTAGGATATATAGACAGGAAGTAATTTTTAAAGAGAAAATAATGTGCAGTTTAAATTAATTTTAGATTTGATTTGCCAGATTATGATTTCTTTCATTTTATATTTGTTACTTAAAAATTTTTTTGAAATAATTTAATACTTTTTTGTGTATGTATGTGTGCCTGTATGGTTTTATGTGTCAAGTGCATGCCGGTACAGAGGTTAGAAGAGGCATTGATCCCTTGGAACTGGTGTTAAGAACTGGTTGTGAGCCCTTGTGAGAACTGAACCTGGGTCCTCTGAAAGAATCAAAAGCACTCTTAGCTCTCTGGCCTCCATCTTTTACTTTTTAATGTTGGTAATATTTCCTAATAGCATTAGTAGAATTACTACTTTATCATTTCACTATTGGATGCACACAGTGTGTCTTCAAATATAATTTCCAAAGAAGGGTATCAGTATTGTTAGGTGAAGTTCAACATTTCTTTGCAAGCCCTCCTCCAGAGTATTCAACTGAAGGTGATTAAAAAACATTATTTCTATTGTCAGTTAAATAAATGCTTTTAAAAATAATTTCTTATGATTATATCACTAACTTGACACCCAGTTATATTAATTTTCTTTTATTTGAGGTCTTTTTTTTCATTTGGAGACAGTTGTTTTAGTTTATTTTCAGTTTTTAGGGATTATTTTGTTTCTTTTTGCTTTGTTTATAGTATGTAAAAATATTTCCATGGTTTCCAATTAAGTAACCATTTTAGATCTATTTTATTTTTACATATATGAGCATTTTGCCTGCATGTATGTCTGTGTGCCATGTGCTTACATGTGGAGGTGGGATGAGGGAGTTGGATCCCTTGGAACTGAAGTTATGGACGATTTTGAGACACCACATGGAGGCTTGGGAACCCGATCTGGGTCCTCTCCAAGAACAATATGTACTTTTATTCTAGGAGCCATCTGTCTAGCTCCTTGGGTTTCAAATTTTAAACTACATCTTCATTTCTGTCCCTTCAGCACTTTTTATTCCTTCTAATTTGAGTAGCCACTTTTATTAGTTTTTGGTTCATGCAAATACAAGCAACTACATGTGTATCTGTTCATTTAAATGTACTGTAGTTCAGTCTTCATCCATTGAAGGACGTCTGGATTGTTTCCAGTTTGGATTAATAGAAGTGAAGCTGCTTTAAACACTTGGATGTTGGTTTTATTTGGACAACAGTTTTTATTTCCTTTGAATCGTTGTTTAAGAGTCTAGTTATTGAATCATATGAAAAATACTTTTTTTTTTTTTAAAGATTTATTTATTTATCATGTATACCGTGTTCTGCCTGTATGTCTGCCTGCAGGCCAGAAGAGGGCACCAGATCCAGATCTTATTATGGATGGTTGTGAGCTACCATGTGGTTGCTGGGAATTGAACTCAGGACCTCTGGAAGAGCAGGCAGTGCTCTTAACCGCTGAGCCATCACTCCAGCCCGAAAAATACTTTTGTAAGAAACTGTAATAGGTCCCCTCCCCCACCCCTGCCGGGGGAGGGGAACCGGCAGCCGTGGCTGCTGGGGCCGACGGGGTCGGTCGTCGTCATGGAATACCCGTGGGATGATCTGACCCTGGCCTTCTCCCGCACGTCCATGTTCCCCTTTTTTGACGTCGCCCACTACCTGGTGTCGGTGATGGCGCTGAGGCAGTGGCCAGGAGCAGCGGCAGTGGCGTGGAGCAATCCCGTGTCCAGCTGGTTGAGTGCTATGCTCCACTGCTTTGGTGGAGGAATTTTGTCCTGTGTACTGCTTGCAGAGCCTCCAGTGAAGTTCCTTACAAACCACACGAATATTTTACTGGCTTCTTCAATCTGGTATATTGTATTTTTTTGCCCACGTGACCTAGTTTCCCAGGGCTATTCATATCTACCTATTCAGCTCCTGGCTGCGGGAATGAAGGAAGTGACCAGAACTTGGAAAATAGTAGGTGGAGTCACACATGCTAATAGCTATTACAAAAATGGCTGGATAGTCATGATAGCTATTGGATGGGCCCGAGGTGCAGGGGGTGTTATTGTCACATCTTGTGAACAGTTGCTAAAAGGAGATTGGAAACCAAAAGGTGATGAGTGGCTGAAGATGTCCTTCCCCTCCAAGGTGACGCTGCTGGGGTCAATCATCTTCACTTTCCAGCAGACCAAGCATCTGGCAGTGTCAAAGCATGATCTCATGTTCCTTTACACCTTCTTTCTCGTGACCATAAAGGTAACTATGATGGTGACAAAGGATTCCACTGTGACTCTTGCTCCCTTTGAGGATACCTTGAGCCGGATGCTGTTTGGCTGGCAGCAGCAGTTTTCAATGAGTGAAAAGCAAACGGAATCAAAACCGTCTTCCAATGGTACTACCTCGTCAGCATCCAAGCCCACCATAGAGGATCTGGATGATGCTAAGAGGCTTGCCAAGAAAGAAGACTGACGATTTTGCCTGAGCTTAGGAGGCAAACGGGGAAGAGTTACTTATTTGAGTTAGAGTGTGGTCGTGTTTCTACGTAAATGACGTGATGTAGGCTTCTCTGTGAGGATAGGGGAGACAGGAAGGAAGAGATGCTTTGCTTCAGGTACACCGCTCTGTCGATAGTAACTCTTGGGGTCACGAGTGTATCATGTGAATTTATTTTTCTGGTGTAAGAGATTCTCATAATTATTTGAATAGTTTTATATAGATAAAACGATACTTTTTTAAATGGTAGAAAACTTTTGTTCACTTGTTACTACAAAATTCTAAGGCTTTCACACTTATAAAATTCAGTATTTTTTTCACTTTTTGAATGATTCTAATTGTGTTTTAATTCTGTAGAATTAAACTTTTACTTTATATTTCCAGTATAATTCCTGTATATAGAGGACAGTTCCTATTTAAATTTGAACATGGAGAACTTTTGCTAACTAATTTTTAACTGAAAATAAACCGATAGTGTATATATGGTGTATACATTTGTTTTTATATTTCTTACTCACATTAAAAATACCTGAAATTTAATTTATTTTAAAGTATTATTTTTCAGTGAGACCACACTGTTAATTTGAGTCTCAGTTTGAAGTTTTTTCATGCTCTTGTTTTAAGAACTACTTTCTCCTCAGGAAAGCAGGGTTATAATTTGTGTGTATCTTTTTCTTTTTGCAACAAAAGTCTCACTCTGTAGCTTAGACTGGCCTCAATCTCCTCCTACCTCGGCCTCCCAAGTGCTGGGATTATGAGCACAGGCCACCATGCCAGGCCAGGGTGTCAAATGTCGTTCGTATGTTCCTCCTGACTCAATTGGTCTGAATATGCATGTCTCAGTGATTCAACAAAAAGTATTGTCATGGCTGACAATGTCTCCTTCTGCCCCTCTCTTCTGTGACCACTGCTTCGGGTGTTCACTTGACTGTCTGTTGTGGGTTTGCACATGGTGTTTTTGTTGAATTGACATGGACACGTATTGCTAGTTTTATCTTCAGTGAAAACCACTTTTATGTGAACATGCTCAGCTCCCATGAGAACTGCCTGTGCACATTTGATTTCAACCACAGAACCTAACCTCACATGCTAGACTACTTGAATGAAGTAATACAACATGAAATCTGGTTTCTCATCGACAAAATAAAAAGAAAACAAGAAAATGTATTAAAAAAAAAAAAAAAAAGAAACTGTAATAGACACCTAGAATGACTGTACGATTTCACACTTACATTAGTGTACAAATATTCCAGTTTCTCTGAGTTCTTTTTATTCTTGTTGCACTTGTTTATTTGTTTATATTTATTGTTAGTGTGTGTGTGTGTGTGTGTGTGTGTGTGTGTGTATGTGTATCTGTCTGTCTGTCTATACACATGTATGTGGAAACAATCGAGAGTCAGTTCTCTCCAACCATGTGGGTCTTGGGGATTGAATTCAGGTCATCATGCATTGAGCCATGTCAGCATCCACAGTTTCTCTGAATTCATAATAGCCTTTGCTGCTGTCATTGGTTTATAATTTTAGCTGTCTTGATAGATATGTAATGATAACTGATTGTGGAAGTTTGTAATGGCTAATGGTGATGCACATGTTTTTATTCATGTGTTTATCTGCCCCCTGTATGTACCCAATGAAATGTTACTCATGTCTTGCCTGTTTTCTGATTGAACTGTTTGCTTTTCTTTTTTTTAAACCTAATCATTATGAATACTTGAATGCCCTATATGTAAGTCCTTTTAAAAATATAGGTTCTCTCAGACTGTATCTTGTCATTTTATCCTTTCAATAGAATCTTTCTCAGAGCAAAAATTTAATTTTTCTATGGCCTGATTTTTGCTTTTATAGATTTTTGTTTTTTGTGTAAGAACTTGGCTGGGATTTAGAGACAGAAGAATTGTATATTGTGGATAGTAATATAATTAGTGTATAGCTGTTATGGAAAACAATACAGAGGGAGGTCTCTCAAAAAATTTTGCAGTCCAGCAGCCTCACCCCTGGGTGTATAAAAGTCATTACATCAAAGAGATACCCACATACCTGTTTATTGCAGCACTAGTCACAGGAACCAGAATTATAGTCAGCCAAGATGTCATCAGCAGATGAATGGATTTTAAAAAGAGGTATATGGGGGCTGAGATGGCTCAGTGGTTAAGAACACTTGATGCTCTTGCAGAGGACTGGAGTTTTATTCCCAGCACCCACATGGCTCACAGTCATCTATAACTTCAGTCTCAAGGGTTCTAATGCCCTCTTCTGACCTCCAAGGCATCCACACACAAATGGCATTCACACACAGATATACACCTATACACACAGATTTTTTAAAAGATGTGTGGGGCTTGGGGAGGAGAGATACTGTTTAACTATAAAAAGGATGAGATTCTGCCATTGCAGCAACATAACTGAAGCTGGAGGGCATTATGCTAAGTAAAATCAATTAGGTGCAGAGAGACAAATACTGCAGAAGCTAAAGACATTAATCAAACAGTAGTAGATGGTAGTGTAACAGTTAATAGAGGCTAGATCAGTTGCTGTAGTTCTCATATGTTACAAAAATGGGGAACTAATCCAAAGCAGTTCACTGTACATTTCAAAATGACTGAAAGAAAGAGTTGGCTTCCCAAGATCATAGGCATGATAGTATTTGAGGGGATAGAAGGGCTGAATACTCTGCTTTGATCATTATACATTGTATGCTTATGTAGACTTGATTTATAAAGTTGTGGTCTCATAAGTGAGTACAAATACTATATGTTAATTGAAATAATAGAAACTCTGGAGCTGGAAGATGGCTCAGTGGTCAAGGAGAGCACTTGCTACTCAAAGAGGACCCGTGTTCCATTTCCAGCACTCATGTTTGATGACGCACAACTACCTGGAACTCCAGCTGTGCATGTGCACACACGCACGCACGCACGCACGCACGCACGCACGCACATGAATCTAATCTCCCCCTCCCCTGCAAACAAAACAAAACAAAACAGAAACACAAAAAACCCCCAAGCTTCTAGAGGTTTGTCTTTTTTATTTTTTTTTAGCCAGGCTGACTTCATTCTTTTCTGTAGTTCTCATTTTTGGTTTGATTTTTTACTGTAATTTTTGTTTTACTTTTTATTTTTTGTCATATTCATGCTTACATTTCTTTTCTCTCCTAGCTTCTTAGGGTGGAAGCTTAGGTGATTCATTTTAAATTTTTTCTGATTTTCTAATGTGTATTTAACACTTATAAGATTTTTTAAAATTTTTTTATCTATTTCAAAATATTTCTGTGTTTATTCTGAGGCTTCTTTGATTTGTGTAGTATTTGGAACTGTGTTGTTTAATCTTAAATATTTAAGATTTTCCAGCTATCTTCTATGAATGATTATAATTAATTCCACGGGGGTCTGTGAGCATGCTGTGTACAAGTTTCTGTTCTTTTGTTACTTTTAAAGATATATATGTTTTAAATATATCTTTAAAAGTAGAAAGACAGTTTGACTATGAATCCCTAAGCTTATTTTTTGTGTGTCTTAAATTTTTCTGATTTATTATATTTGGGTCTAAAATAAAGTTGTCATAAAGCCTTGTGATGTATTTTTCTTATAAATGTCTTGATATTTTTACCTGCATGCTAAAGACATTAAAACAAACAACAACAAAGCCAAGCAGGGCACAGTTCGAGTACTCCTCTATTCCTAGGGGCAGGTGGGTATGTGGTTCCTTGTTAGCCTGGTCTATATAGAGAATTCCAGGCCAGCCAGAGCTACATAGACGCCCTCTCAAACAAACCAACCAACCAGTAGCCTGTGTGGCACCTTCTTGGTACGTTTCCCTAGCATGCTGTGTGTTCTTGCACTATGGATTCAAGTTTAATTTAGGAAGATTCGCTTGAAGCGTGACTTGGACTATTTAATCCTTTGCCTGCTTTGTATGTGTGTGATTATTTCCATTTACTTTCTGACCTGTTTTTCTCTTTTGTTTGTTTGTTTTTTCAAGACAGGGTTTCTCTATGTACGAGTTCTGGAACTTGCCTTGTCGACCAGGCTATCCTTGAACTTGTAGAGATCTGCATGCCTAGGCCTTCCAACTGCTGGAATTAAAGGCATGCACCACCACCACCTGGCATTTCTGGACTTTTTTTGAGAGGGATACTTTTGGGGAGACATTTTTATAATTTAGTTTGGGGGTTTTTTGTTTGCTTTTTTTTTTTTCCTTTCTAAAAACAAACCCAAAAGACAAGTTTTCTTCCCCATTTGTGACTCTTACTGGCTGTTCCTATTATCTGGCCATACTTTTCTGAGATGTTCCAATTTTGACTTCTTTTTTAAATTTACGTTTTTTTTGTGTATATGGGTGTTTTGACTGCATGTATGTTGGTGCACTGCTTTTGTGTGTGCCTGTGGAGACCAGAAGAGGGCTGGCCTTAGCGATGGTTGTGAGCTGCTCTGTGGCCCAGGCCCTCTTGAGAGCAGCCTGTCTGGACGGTTGAGCGAGCCCGCCAGCCCCAGGTTTGCTGCTGTTTTCTTAGTTTCCTTTAAGTCTTTTCAAAATACTCAGGAACATTTTATATCTTCATTTTACTTGATTGCTCTGGAAGATTTTATTATATGTTAGATTACTATTTTTCTTCCAGTGTCTTTTGGTAGGTTTTTATTTCATTCTCGTTTTTCCCTGGTAGCGAAGGAAAAACTGTGGGAGGAAGGAATGGGCAAGTGTCATTTTGAGCTTTGGGATTCAAGGCCTAAGTTACAACTCTAAGTTACAAATTGTTTTTACCAACTGTTACTGTTTGGAAATGAACAGTACAGCATTTCTTCCAAACCCTTCCCTTCCTTTGCCTTATGTCTTTGTGTTCTGCAGAGGACTCGGTTAGTATTTGCAGTTACGGGGATTTGAAGGCTGTGTCACCTGGATCTCTGCCTACTGAGTTCTCGTTATTTTTGCTTTCATAGGTTGTTTTGTTTTTCCTGTTCTCTGCACGGTCCTTTTCTGGGTATGTCTTTGTCTTTCTCAGAGTTAGAGACTATTAGAAATCCAGGATCAGCACGTGAATGTGGTCCAGTTCCCTTGGAAATTTCCTGTGTTTATCTATATCTTGGAGCCTGTGAAGGACATTATCTGACTTTATCCAGTTCTCAGATTGTCTGCTCTTGCCAGGATTTGAACTTGTTCATTTCTTTGTGAAGGATAGACCTTTCTTTGTTTTTATGTAAGTGGCTTCTTTTTAATTAATGTAATTAGTATTTTTCCATAGGTGTGTGTGTGTGTGTGTGTTTTAGACCCCATTTGAGAACTCTTATTTTTTTTTTAGCACTTACTGTAGGCAGATGTTTCTGTCCCTCCAGCTTGCTCCCAAATAAACACACAGAGACTTGTTAGTAATTGTGAAGGCCCAGCCAATAGCTTAGGCTTGTTCCTGACTATCTCTTAGAACTTAAATTAGCCCATCTCTGGTCACCTGTGTGTTGCCATGTGACTCATGGTTTTACCTCTTTTCTTGCCTGTTCTCTCTCTGGTGCTGGGAACTTCGCCAGTCCTCCCAGAGCTCTCTCTGTCTGGCTCCCTGCCTATACCTCCTGCCTCGCTATTGGCCATTAGCTTTTTAGTAAACCAATTAGAAGATGCCTGGCTTGAGGACACATCTTCACAGTGTTATTCCATGACAGTTTGTAACAGTGTTTGATTATCTTCTTTATATTTCTACTTGTTTATTGTGTTATCATTTGAATGAGAAGTGAAGAGCTGTCCATCTTATGTACTGCTGTATACTTGGAACCTAGTACACTGTCTTGCCCAAGGCAGGACTCGGTGTATATTTGTGGAATAAACAATTCTGGCATATGCTACCACCTTAATTGCCAAGTATTTGGAAGTGAGTCTAAACTTCTGCAGCAGCAAGTATTTGATTTAGGTTAAAGCTGTGGGCTCTACTTTTGATAGCTGGAAATATTAAAAATTGACAAGGTTTGGGCCTTAGTTTGCATTATGAGTTAAAGTATTTTATTGTATACCTTTGTTTCAATTAACTTATGCTATTAAAAACAGATTGTAGGCCGGGCGTTGGTGGCGCACGCCTTTAATCCCAGCACTCGGGAGGCAGAGCCAGGCGGATCTCTGTGAGTTCGAGGCCAGCCTGGGCTACCAAGTGAGTTCCAGGAAAGGTGCAAAGCTACACAGAGAAACCCTGTCTCGAAAAACTTTAAAAAAAAAAAAAAAAAAAAAAAACAGATTGTAAAGCTGGGCATTGGTGGTGCACACCTTTAATCCCTGCACTCAGGAGGCAAAGGCAGGCAGATCTCTGAGTTCGAGGCCAGCCTGGTCTACAGAGTGAGTCCCAGGACAGGCTCCAAAGCTACACAGAGAAACCTTGTCTCAGAAAACAATAGATTGTGATCTCATTGTCCACAGATATCCGTTTTTCTTTTGTTATGGCATTAATTACCTTAAAATGTTCATTGGTAATGGAAGCTCTACCCATTGGTGGTGTAGAACTATTTATAAAAGAAATACAGCATCTTTATTCCTTGATTTCCATGCTATTTTTTATTTCAAATTCCAGCTCACTGGCTTTCAGATGTGTGTAGTGTGCTTTGATCAGTCACCCCCCCTTTCCTCCTCACCAAATTACCCTCTTCTACTTTCAGCCCTTTTCCAATTCTAAGTTCTACATATGAGAGAAAACGTACATGCATGTCTGTCTTTGTGAGTATGGTTTATTTTACTCCATGTGTGGAAAATGTATTTTGGGGGGATAGTGGCTCATGGTTTGTAATCCTAGTACTTGGAAGGCTTATGTTGAAGAATTCCTAGGAATTCAAGCTCAACCTAGGCTATAGAGAAGTTTTCTGTTTCAAAACGAACCAGACAACCGTCACTGTACGTATTTGTGGGATGTAATGTATTTCAGTACAGGTGTACAGTGTGCAATGCTTAAATCATAGGACTTGCCATGCCTGCCACCTCAGACGTCTATCATTTCTTGTTGGTGGCAACATCCAAAATTCTAGTGATTTTTAATAGTAAGTGTTGTAATCAGTAGTTGTCCTACCCTGCTGTTTTGAACGTTAGGCGGTATTCTTCCTAACAAAGTACATCCCTGTACCTGTTAACCATGCTCTCTGAATCCTTCATTTCTCCACAGTTCTCATAAGCCCTGGTATCTACTGTTTTCTTCTTCTTTGAGGTGAACTTGTTTTCTGTGTGCTGTTGTACAGGATGAAGATTATGCATGGTCTCTGAATGAAGGATGTGACAGCTCCACATATGACTGCAGTTATTTCTTGATTTCTTACATGTATAAACAGTGTTGCCCTTTACTTACTGCTGTGTAGTGAACAATTTCCAATGATTGATTAAAGTTAGGGTTTTGTGTATATAGTGGTTACTTGGTGTTGCGTAACATAAACATGTCATATTTTTCCTAATCTCGGTTGTTAGGCTTCTTACAAATTGCTGTTAAATTGTGCTATGATGCACGTGGATGATTAATTAATACCTTCTAGATTGTTTTGTAGGTTAAGTTCCGAGAAGTGGAATAATTCTTTGAATTTGTAGTATGTGATTAAATACCCTGTGTAGTCAGATTCCGTGGATTTAAATCCTTATTTAGATATATATATTCGGGCCAATCCATTTTTCTGTGTTCAGTTTCTAAATCAATACTTTTTTTTTTTTTAAAGATTTATTTATTATGTATACAGAGGAGGGTGCCAGATCTCATTACAGATGGTTGTGAGCCACCATGTGGTTGCTGGGAATTGAACTCAGGACCTCTGGAAGAGCAGTCGGTGCTCTTAACCTCTGAGCCATCTCTCCAGCCCTAAATCAATACTTTTAAAGAAGATAGTTTACAATAGAAAGCAGTCAGAAGACTTAGATACCATAGCACCATGGCTGTAGTTCTTGTCGTTTTCATTTCATAGCTAACATGTTTGAATTGATTTTGATATAGTGTGCTAGAATTGTGTCATGAAAAGTTCTATTAATTTGCATAGCTACTGCAAAACAGAGTATCATTTTGCAAAGCTTTAGTTGATGTTTTAATTCAGAAATATATGTTTTTGATGATGTGGCCTCAGATTTTAAAGACAGATGCATGCCTTTGAATCCTCAGTATTTGGTTAATACTGATTTTATGTGTTTGGGTTTTTGCCTGTTGTTATGTGATTATTTATATTTAAGTAATTTAAATATTTAGATTTTTATTTACCTTTTGTATTTTATGTTTTCTGTATCTGTTCTAATTGATTGCCTCTTAATTTAGTTTGAATTCTTTTTTACATTCATAGAATATGTATATGAAGGTAGTTCTCATGGGACTGGAGAAATGGATCCGTGGTTAAAGAACACTTGTTTCTTTTTAGTGGTCCTGGGTTCAGTTCTCAGCACCCATATGGTAGCTAACAACCATCTGTAACTCTAGTTCTGTGGCTTGGATGTTCTTTTCTGCCCTCTGTGAGCACCAGATACACACATGGTGTGCATACATATACGCACGCAAACACCCAGACATATCAGATAAAAATAAGTCTTTTTTTAAGCCGGGTGGTGGTGGCATACGCCTTTAATCCCAGCACTCGGGAGGCAGAGGCAGGCGAATCTCTGTGAGTTTGAGGCCAGCTTCGGCTACAGAGTGAGTTCCAGGAAAGGCGCAAAGCTACGCAGAGAAACCCTGTTTCAAAAAACCCCTGTTTTTTTTTTTTTTTTTTTAAGTTATTCACTTGTTATAATAAATCTATTATTTGTGGTAGTATAAATATATAATTCATTTGCTCATTTATTAAGCTCTTTTCTCTGCTAGGTATACAGCTAATATTCTAAAAATATACTTTTTATTTTTAGAATAATTACAGACTGCAGAAAAGCTGCAAAGATTATTTTCCTTAAGCAGTTTCTCCTACTGCTAACATTTATTATTTCCATGATCAATTTGTCCCAACAAAGATACAAACATTGGTATGTTACTACTAACTAAACTTGACATTGTATTTAGATCTCACTACTTTCCCCAGAAGCGTTTCTTACTCATCCAGGGTCTCATCCAAGAAGCAGCATTACATTTAGTTGCCTTGTTTCCTTTCTCTTCCTGATAAGTGACAGTGTCTCCAGTCTTTTTTGGTGTTTTTGTTTGTTTGTTGCTTT